CCCCAAAACCCCAAAACCCCAAAACCCCAGTACTTACATCAAAAATTGAAAGGGTTTTCTTATGAAATCATTAGTCAAAGGCCATTTGGCTTCTGATGAAATATATTCTTCAGTTAAAATCTCGAGCATTACCACAAGTCAAGACTTTTACAGTATCTTTTTGGAAAGTAACCATTAAGGCATCATAAATATGCCTTGAAAGTAAACAAGAAATGCCGGATTAAGTTTGGCTGCTCAAATAATAAAAAAAGAGATAGCTATATCTTGCCAGCATAAAAATTCAGAAATAATCAATTTGAAATTTTTCAAATTCTTATGAGTCATTCTCTAATTAATTTGTATTTATACAGTCGTCTAGCATTCTGCTTTCTAAAGACTGGGTTCCTAGTATTTCATAAAAAATTTGGAACTAAAGTTCATGACAGACAAAGATTACAAGAACTCACTGATTGATTTGCTCGCCAGGATTCCCAACTATTTTAACCAGAAAAGTATCACTGAGTCCATGAGGTTAATCAAAGTATTGGATAATTTAGGATTTAACACCTGACAAAGTTCCAGAAAATTTTCCACAAGGCCATGAATACAGCAGAGAGGCAAGCATATTTATTGTATTTAGAAACCTTTTTTCTTTAAATAAAATTGCAACTAGCCAAATCCTTGAGCTATGAGTCCACTGCAGCATCGGTGACTATGTAGACAATATGGAGTATAGTAACAAAGCCAAGCTATCGTTTGATGAACTTAATAACATTACAAACGAACTCAAAGCTACCAAAGCAAAGTTCAGTTTGCGAGGACTTCAACTTAAAGATGAAATTAAGAATTATGCAAGAACCACCTATAGTCTAATCAAAAACATGCTTTAAATACCATATCAAAACCAAAACCTCCCTTCACAACTCCAAAACATCCAATCCAAAGAACCTACCGCACCCTCAACTTCTCCCACACCCCCAAATCCCCTCTAACTCACCTCCCCAACCCCTTTCCCCAATCCCCTCAAGCCCCCAAAATCCCTCAACTCCTCAAAAAATTTCCAAAAAATCCATACATGGGGTTTTGGGGTTTTGGGGTTTTGGGGTTTTGGGG